GAACCCCAATAGCCCCGCCGGCGGAAGACCGCCAACGACCGCACCGTGTGGTAGCTGCTGCGCGTGAATCTGTTGCTGGAACAACCGACAATGGACACGGTTACCCTTTTCCTCTCCTATTCTCCACTTCCTTTTTTCCTCTATCGTTTCGAATTTTTTCTCTCTTTTGCTCTTTTCGCTTAAATATTCCCCGCCCCCTCTAGCTCTCGTAGGGGGATAATAAATCGTTTCTACGATTTTCTTTAAAAGAGTAATTTTCTGCGGCGAGTAATCTTCCGAACGACGACGAAATGATTCGTTAATGATTTATTCGTACTTTAGAAGAAAAAAAAAGAATTGTAATTATCGCGTTACGATTCTTTCGAAAACAAAGTTGAAATATTCTCGAAGAAGCTAAGAAAGATATATTTTTGTCAATATGCGTATGTGTAAAAAAATTTGGATATATATATATTAGAAATTTAAGAAAATATAAGATAAAATATAGAAAGATAAAATAAAAGAAACGGACAGTTAAGATATTTTAATCGAGTGCACGAAATTGTCGAGAGAAATACATTCGAAAACGATCATCGAAGAACTGTAATAAAATGTTGGAATTCGTCCGTTCGAATTCCGAGACTTGGGGCAATAGGATGCTGAGCTCTCGGGTGTAAACCTCGTCCAATAACATTTGTATATCAGCATTTGACCATTGATACCCAGCCTCGTCGGGATTAGACGAGACACTCGGAGTGCAGGAGCTTGTATTTGTATTCAAGTACAAATAGGAACGCATCAGAACAGACACCTTAGTATATCAATATCTCATCCGATTCTGATGAAGCAAACTGTGTACCGTCGAAATACCAATACTCAAACGTTATTGCATTCAAGTTTATACATCGGATACAAATTCAAAATCGTCTAAATAAATATGAAATTTCGAAAAAAATTTTTTAACTCGTCGAAGAAGGAGAGTAGCGCTTAACGTAACTGATAAACTTACTTCAATATCCTTCAAGTTTAATTAGAAGAAAAGATCGAAATTGAAATTATTTCTCTTCTAAAAACATGTCACTGTGATTGATTTTCTACGCATCGTTCGAAATCTACGAAAAAAAAAAAAAAATAAATAAATAAATAATTATCGATAAAATACACTCGAAAGATTGAAATTATTTCAACAAAGTTTAAAAGAGGAAAAAAAAAAAAAAAAGAAAAAAGAAAGGAAAGATACCACGATTTTAAAAAGCGCACGATTCTTTGTTCGCGCCTTAAAAACTTTTCAACTTTCTTTAAAACGATCTTAGAATATCTTAATATCCGTTTGAATTAATATGCATAAAGCGGCGACCCAATTACGAAATAAGAAACACGGGATCACCGTGAAATAAATGTTTTAATGATTGTGCATTCACGCTTGCCCAAGTGGCCGCGACCCTCTTCAAACGAGTTAACCTAATTTCAGATTGCCACGGTATAAATTAAGAAGTTCCGATTTAGACTCGGGAGTGAAACAGAATTTTCTTCTGAATCGCTCCCCCTCTCCCTCCCTCCGCGTGTCTCGAACTCTCGTTCAATATCACTTAACGCCTTTTTATAAAAAAAAAACAATTCCTCTATGATAATTCCTATCATAATTGAAG